GTCATAGCGTATGTTTTGTGAGACTGAGGAAGACTTTGTAGATTAGTGTAGGACATATGGACTAATGTTGGACCTAGGGGCTTAGACAGCACTGGGTTGGGATGTTTTCTTGATGTGCACTTACCCTTTAGATAAAACTCTCTTATACATATAAATTTCTGTGGATTTTTCTCTAAAGTACCTAGACTAAAACAATCATTGTCTCACACTAAGTAGGCGGGGCTGTGGAGGCAGGAGGGAGCTTGGGTCTCATCTGTAGTTAACTATTGTTTCTAATGAGTCAGCACCTCCCTAGCACAAGGGTGCAGCCCTGTGGCCTAAATTGACTATTGCTCACAGCAGGCCCCAAAGGCTTAACCATACCCAGATTCCTGCCCCAGCTTCACATAGTAAATGGAATGACCTAGCGGAACCCATTTTGTGTGTATTAATTGGGAAAAAAAAAAAAAAAAGCAATTAAATCGTCAGGCATGGATTCATTTCCCCCCCCCTTTTAAGGATCCATTTTCCTGTGCCCTTCAACCCACTCTTGTAGCTGTGAAGGGCAAAGGGTGTTTCCTGTGTAAGCCCATACAAATCCAAGGGCGAGGAAGATGGACTGTCTGCTTGACAATGGGTGGCCACGGCAAGCAGAAAAAGAAACAGCTAACCAGGAACGGCCACATACAAGTAGTCACTCACAAACAGCTCGATTACCATCGCACTTTGGGCTTTCTTCAGGAAACTAACATTTGGAGAAACCATGAAATAAAGGAGCCCCTTTGTATGTTTAATCACCTACATACGCAGCAAGAGAAATTCGAGTAAGAACGCTGACGTAGCTGATTGTACTCACCTTGCTCACCCACTGTCCTGGTACAACACACCACGGGCCTTCCAAGACACAAGTGCCACAAGTGAGTGATCAGTGTCAGGGAGAACACATCAGTGACGGCATCTTCTGTGTGCAGGCACGCCACCCCCACTCCCCCCGTCGTGCTGGATCTATCTGTGTGGCTCACCTTTCGCAAATGGGCACTGTCCACTCTGAAGTGTCCGGGACACTTCCCATGCAACAAGCTGGATGGGGCCCTGACCACACGCTAACGAGCTTGAGGGCACATCAATTCCCTCACACCCGGGCCCAACACACAGCCACGAGGGTGCCTGGGGAATGCAGGCTCTACTCCAGGGGGCTGTGCCCAGCCAATGAACAGAGGCACATCTCCGTGCAAGGACCAAATGGCTATTGGGGGTGGGGGGCCTGGTGCTGTCTGGACAAATCTCATGAAGATACAAAATGAAAAATTGCAAGTTGAGGATAATTCAGCTGAGAATACGGTAGGATTAACTCACTGATAAAATCTGCAGTGCCCTGCACTTAGTGTTTACTCTACGCACGCATCGAAAGCATGAAGTGCAAAACATGAGCTGTGCACGTGTGCAAGGTGCAGTTTGTTGGTCTAATACCAAAGGGAGACAACATGGTGCCGTCATCTGCCTGACTGGCCACGTGGGGAAGCACAGGTGGGTGATGTTCTCTGTCAATCGCTTTTCTAAAGGAAACATGGTCACTTATAAAGTAATAGAATACCGATTAGCCTTAGCAATTTTACTGACGGAGCAACTTTAGAGTACCCAAACAGAAGTCATCCTTTACATTTTTAGCACGTAAAAAAACCAGTCAAGATTCCACCTTCTGGAAAAACTGGGAGC